GTCCCAGTCTCGCGGAGTGGGTCTTCTCTGTCGGGGCCGTCCCAGTCTCGCGGAGTTGGTCTTTTCTCTTGGGGCTGTCCCAGTCTCGCGGAGTGGGTCTTCTCCGTCGGGGCCGTCGTAGTCTCGTGGAGTGGGTCTTCACTGTCAGGCTCTCGTAGTCTTGCAGAGTCAGTGATGTGAAAAGTGGAAATTCCCGCAGTTTCAGTGTTGGAATCTGTGGTATTGAAGCGTTGCTCAGGGGGCTGGGAGACAGTTATACAGTGCTAGTATCAATATCCCGCAAGGCACAGGACGGCAAGTGCTGCAGCACACACTCCAAGTGAGACTGATTAAAACGAGGGATGGAGATTTGTCTCTGCCAAAGGTGATGATAATTTTTATTGTTTTTATTATTGATATTTCTTTGGCCAGTGTCCCAGAGAATTAGGAAAGTGGCTTAACTTCATTTGTTCTTGAAGAACAAATCCCTCCAAGAATATCTTTTGCGCTCCTTATCTCTCTGCATTTCAGCTTCCCTCTTTCCCTCTCTCTCCTTCTTTCCCTAAATTTCTCCATTCCTTTCTTTCTCCCCTCAATGTCTTCCTCATTCTCTCCTACTTCCTCCCTCTTCCTTTCTCTCCCCCACTCTTTGTCTTTTGACCTTGAGCAAAATTGTGTAGCTTGGGGGCGAACTGCAGTGTTAAATTCCAGAATTTGAGAGCGCTTTGTTTTGTAAGCATCATGCGTACAAATTTATTTTTTTTCCAAATCAGCCTAATCACATCTTCTGCAGCATGTTCCTGCTTTACGTTTGCCAGAACCATCGAGCTGTGGGCAAACAGGCATCTACACCATGGTATCAGGAAGGAATAAACACTGATGGCAGTAATAAGCCATGTGAGCTGACTGTTGCTCTGTGTTGCTGTCCCAGGAGAACACTGACCAAATGCGTTGTTGTTGAGTTTATGCCAAGCCTGTCGGTTTAATGTAAAATGTTTGTTTTCATTAAGAGGGCCTTGCAATTCGTGTCTCATCTTTAAAGGTGGCAACGATTACATGTAGAAACAGCACCAATTGCCATGATGTGTTCACAGAGCATTCTCCCTGTCTCTCTCCGCCTGTTTGATTTGTCCTTTCTCCTTGTTTGACTGGCTCTCCTTCTGTTTGGCTCTCTGCTTGTTTGACTACCCCTGTTGCTCATGTAGAAAAAGTTCTCATATGTTTCTTTGCATGTTTAACTGTCCTTGTCTCTCTCTGCCTGTTTAACTGCCCTTGTCTTTCTCTGCCTGTTGGACTGGCCCTGTCTGTCTCTCTCTGCCTGTTGGACTGGCCCTGTCTGCCTCTCTGCCTGTTTGACTGGCCCTGTCTACCTCTCTGCCTGTTGGACTGGCCCTGTCTCTCTGCTTCGCTTGTGTCGTCCTGTCTGTTGGGACACAGAGGAGCAGCAAGAGGCGCCCATCCACGTGCTCCTAATCTCAGAGGATCAGGTGGAGCAGAAACAAAAGCCTCTTTTGTTGCTGGCTGCTCAACTTTTCTTTTCTTCTTCGTTTTTTTCCTCTCCCCCCTCTCCTCTGTCGTCTCTCTTATCTCCCTCTGTCTCCTCTGTCCAGAATGACGCAGCTGTTCCAGAACTCTGTCGTTCGCCCCCCACACTCCAGCCCTCTCCTTCGCCAGTTTTGCTTTGGGTTGTTAACGACAGAGTTAATTTCTTTTGTCACGGGACTGACTAATCAACACGGTTTAAACCTGATGCATTCAGAACACAGAGGTCGTACCATACCAGACACAAAACGGAGCAGACACAAACACAGCAGTGCAGTGATGGCTTGGGCTCACACATCCTGCAGGGCCTGATGGAGATGCTTTTGAAACAGGCTGAGGCGTGACCTCTGTGGCAGTGCTGTGGGAAGAAAATAATATTTTTTTTTGGGGGGGGGAATGGATTCTTTCTAAATAGGCTTTCCAATATTTATGTCTTTACTACCTTAAAATACTATTGCAAAACCATCATTGCTGTGTTCAACTCAGTGGTGCATGTCTCCATTCCTTGAGGGCTGTTGTTTCATCTCTAGGTGTTGTTCTGCTCTGCCTTTATTGAACACTTAAGTGGACCAATGGAGAGCTTTTTAAAGGGCTTTGGCTGTTAAAGGTATATTTATTAATCTTTGATTGTTGTTGAACAATCTATTGTCTGAAAAATACTTAATTTGCAGGTCTGAATGCTTTAGCAGGTGCACCTGTAGTTTTAAAGGCAACCAGCTCACTAAGTGTATGCATATATCAGCTCACTAAGTGTATGCATTTTAAATAGTTAAACAGCTCAAAACAGGCATACAAACACGTATGCTTTAGACTGAGGGATCTGGTGTTTTATTACGGTGTTTTGTGCCCGGTGGCACCATGAATGAGTTGATCTGTAACATGACAGGAGGTGGTGGTTGTCTGAATTATTTGGGGGTGAGGAGACAGTCACAGGCCTCCCTACTTTAGGCAGAGACAGTCAGAGCACTGGTCTAGCAGTGGTGCTTAGCGAGGTGGGCTGCGCCATCAGTCACAGAGGCTTAGGGAAAAAGGCTGTGATTCCAATCCGAAAGGTGTGGGAATTCTAGATTAGTAGTCTGTCCTCTCTGGACAGCCAGGCCTGTCTGTGTCCAGTTTCTGTCCGCCTGTGTCACCCAGAGAACGGAGACCTTCAGGGAATGGGGAGCCACCTGTTATGGAAATATACCTATCAAGGAAGCCATGAGAGAGAGCTCTCACCTGAGTAAAAGAAATCTGATGAACCCGGTGCGAATGAAATTCATCATAAACCTGACAGAAGTCTTTTACGTATCTTTGCTCTTTTGGGAATCCTGTGTGACAATCCAGCAGAGCACCTGACCTTTGGGATTCTTTGGGTAGAGCTGGCCACCCTACGGGATTGGCTTTGGTTTGTCTTGATTTCAGGAATCGTTGTATTTCTGTGTGGGAGAGATGAATGAGGTTTGGGTAGTCTTATTCTAAATAAACTCTGCACATCTGTGTTTGTAGTATAAGAAATGATCAATGTCAGTCTATTGCAGAAGTTATGTAGTCATTTTCACTCTGCAGGTGAGAGAACAGACTCCACCTGTCCTGGGTATGACGCACCTGTTATAATCTCCAGAGTTTGTCCCTTTCCTTATTATAGAACCAGGTGGAAATGAGGGAGGCAGGGATCGCATTTCAGAGGCTGAGCAGTGTGCGTGTTTCTGAGTGCAGCAAAGTGTGGAGCTGTGTATATTGGGGTTACTGTGAGTGTTGTTGACTTCAGTGTCAGAGAGAACAGCATGAATTTGAATCCCAGTGTACATGTACATATGGCAGATAAAATGCTCTCACACACCTGATTGTAGCCATTGTCAGATTGTCAAATACACACAAATCTGATTAGAGTCATTATCACACAAACACACACCTATCAGGGCCATTATTACACACACATGCACCTGATCAGAGCTATTGCATACACACTCACCCCTCTGATCAGAGCTGTTGACACACATAGGCACCTGATCAGGGCCATGGTCACACGTACATACACAAACTGTTCAGAGCCGCTGTCATACACAATGCACATGCGGCTTATCTTAGCCATTGTCACACAAAACACACACAAATGCACCTGATCAGAGCTATTGAAACCCCCCTCTGTTCAGGTGTATTGTCACGCACACAGGACTTGCTGCTCATGCAGGGTGAACACAGATTAACAGGTGGCTGACAAAGAGCAAACAGCATCACGTATTAAACGAGTCAGAGCCAGGGCTGCATGTTAATAAGGATGGTGGCTGCGTATCTCACCACCAATTAGCCTCCTATTTACACAGCTATCTCCTGTTGCGCTGTGAAGAAAACAAACCTTTCTCTCCCCTTTCTTTTCATTCTGTGTGCAGGTAGAGCAGGACTATACTGGGAGTCCCCTTCTCTTTCACGGCCTCTATATTGTCAGTCGTGCAGAACACCTGCCCTGAATGAATAAAATCATTAAAGGCGATAATAATTTCATGTTCTTTTACTTTGTCTTCCCAGAATGTCCGAGGGACTCCTCCTGTACTGTAGGCTTGCCTCACTGTGCCTCTATAAGAGAGAAAAGTGGTTTGATGTCCCTTATCATTAAAACAGTTGGCAGGTTCCATCTGCAGAGTACTGGATTAATGGCCCACCCTCTTTTCTCCTCTTCCAGCGAGCATCTATGTCAGGCCCTGTGCAACACACAAGGACAGAGCCGCTCCAGACGATGGCAATGTTTGTGCCTCCTCGGTTTTGTGCCCGGTGTGGCGTCTGTACCTCTCGGAGGTGGCTAGGCCTCAGATGCCTCTTGCTCGCTGGAGCTGTAGGCTCACACTCTCTGTAGCGGGCAGAGTTGGAGGTTTGCAAGGCTCATCCTGGTGATTTATTTACCTGTTTACTTCCTTGCTGAGCGCGCGATCACACATTTCACAAGCCAGCATCGTTCCTGCACCGGCACGCCATTCCAATTAATTCCAGATCATTTTTAATCACAGCGAGGAATATACCAATTATTAAAATGGACTTACTGTACTTTGCTCTATGTGGCAAAATACAAAACAACAAAAGCAGGCTTGATCTGAGGAAGAGTGTGAACGGTAGGAACATTACGAAATGGGTATTAAGCTAAGCTCTCAGAGGCCTGACAGCTCACAGAAGTCACAGACTGCAGAAAGAATGAATTTTACAGGGGCCTCTGGATCGCTGTTTCCCAGATCGCAGTTTATTGTACTGCACCATGGAGAGAAACGTGTTTGGGCAGGGTGCGATCATGCTGGAGGCGGTGGGAGGGAGGGAACGGCATGACGCACACCGGGGCCACACTGCAGTGAAGGAAAGCGCAGGGGCTTCTGGGAGCCTCAGCCAGTCAAGCTTCTCACTCCGGGAGCAGCGGGAGCTTGAGGGCCCAAACCCCGGGTTCGACCCAGGGTTGTTTTACTGGCCTGCTGTGGTCGCGGCTGCTTGGGTGGGCAGGGCGCTGTTGGCACAGGATGGCTGGCCGAATCTCTCTCTTGGCATTGCCATGTGCTTGGCACCCGCAGGCTTCCAGGAGTGACCACGCCTCCAGTTGATCAGCGGTTCTGAATCCGATGGTAGTCAGTAGTCCGCAGTGACCATTGACAGGGCATGCTCTCAAGGGTGACTTTAAACTGACTTAAAAGGAGGTTAGACATGTCCGTGGTGCGAGACCCAATGCGCTGTTCTCCCCTCCCTCTCAGCACACGTGCTGCTTTCAGTAATAAGCTAATCACTGATGCCATGCAATGCATTTGCTGAAAATCTGACATGTAGAAGCATGTACTGAGCAAAATGTTTAAATATTGACGCAGGCTAAATGCTTATAAAGACCGCAGTTTATTTGTGTTGATACAATCGGTGATCTGGATCATGCAGCTCATTTGGAAGAAAGGGGAGTTTCAGTGCCGCCGCATTTTTCTGATTATGTGAAACGCTGCTGTCTGCCTCTTCTGGTAACCGACACTTGATTCGGGGCAGCACTCGTCTTCTGAGCTCAAGCCTCCACAGCTTGGAATTAATCTCTGTTATGTTTCTAATGCAAACACACGGCTCGCGCAGTGCTAGCAAACACAGCTCGATAAGCACATCCAGGCCGTCAGCGCGGGGATGAGCACAAATGCGGCGACTCGTCGGGCACCCACCGAGCACCCCCTCCATGTGTCTCGATCCCACTGCCTGTGTGGGACTCACAGCTGTACAGGAGAACCCACCTGCTGGACGAGAGGCAGCAGAGGTGCGGGGCGGTGAAGCATACAGACAGAGGTCCGAGGCCGCAGGTGGGGTGGCGAGGTCAGGAATCAAAGCGGGGCACCGGAGACAAAACAAACCTAGGAACTAGCGAGTAAGTAGAAAGCTTGAGAGACTCAGAGAGAGCTCTGCAACGGAGCCCAGAGCAGAGTCTGACCGGACCTTAAGTACCCCCTTGAATCACCCAGACAGGCGAGATCGTAACTGCCTCCAGGTGATTCAGGTCTCCTGTCCACTGCTGTCCATGGAGCCAAGCACTAGCTTTCCCTGCAGAGCAGCAGCCAGGGCAAGCCTGACATCATGGACTAAAATACACCAAGCACACATCGTTCTTATTTAGCAATTAGTGTGTCACTGTCCGGTAGCCCTGGCTTCACAACTATCTGTGGGTTTAAGAAAAGCCCACACGGGTTGACGTGGCGTTCCTGTGGGCATATGGCATGGCGAATGGTCAATGCAAGACACTGGTGGGTACAAAATGGGCACATTTAAAATTGCTCACATTCAAGCGGGAGAGGTGGGGTTCTGCAGGGCTCTTGTGACTGTGTAAGGATCACTGCTGATTGTACCTGGGTCAGTTCCTGTGGTTGTGTATTCAGCTGCAGGTCCACGTGGACCATCGCAGACAGCCAGCAAGTTTGGGGCCGGCAATGGTCAGCGGGTGTGGCTGGACGCTGGGAGCTGCGAGCTGCAGTGGAGCCAGGGAGAGTTTCCTATATTGTGTTTTGACCCGGTGAATGCCCTGTTTTCCAAACGAAAACATTTAGGTTAGTCTCTTTTTATTGTTATTGTTCTGTTTGAGTGCCCTGAGGAACAAGAGATTTTACAGGGTGACTTAAAGGAAGAAGACATTAGTAAAGGAAGCAAGTGGAGCCAAACATATGAATAGGAAATGTTACATGTTACATTAGACAACAGGTCAGGGCCAACAGCAGAATAGAGCAGAATTACATCAGCCCAATGAAACTGTAAAGGCTTACATCTCCAGTGTTATCTCACAAGAACAGGGATGATCAAACACCTGGGCTTTTCACCTCAAACCAGGGCAAGGCTTTGACACAGTTCAGGGGTGTAATTGACTTGTCTAGCTTGGTAATAGGTGTTACGGAAGGTCGTGACTACTTGGTCATTAAAGGTCCCACGACATTGTTTGGAAGAGGAGGGGTGTTCACCCCGGTGTTCTGGCTAAATTACACTCTCGGTGGCACAGTCTGGCCTCCCTACAGCTCCCCCTTAATCCACCTGGAGCAGCAGTGTCTGTCTCCTCCCCTGAGCTGCTGTGCAGTGGGACAGCTGTGTGTCTCGCTGGTGTGGCTGCTCTTCACCGGGGGAGGAAGCAGGTCCTCTCTTAGAGTCTTAGATCCTCAGCCCTGTACAAGCTTATGCAAAATATAAGAACATAAGAACGATTCCAGCCTCTTAGGTAGTAGTGAATTGAGGATCGGAGGATCTCATCCCACTGTTACTTGAAAGAAACCAGGTTATTGGCTTAACAACAACGTTGGTGATTTTGTTTTTAATCTTGACTTGAGCTGTATGAAAGAACCCGTCTGTGTGGAGGAGCGGTTGATTTCAGAGTGTCCACCAGCTCACCTGGCTGGTCTCTGAACGTGTCCTTTAGGCACTCTGCCAGCCTGAGGTCCTGCCGTCTGCAGCAGCAGGTGCTGATGAGCCATAGCTTGCACACACTCTCTCATTGCGTACGCATTGTGCTGGGAGCAAACATCTTCCAGTACGTGAACAACCCGTGGTTTTACCCCCTCTCGTACCAAGATTGAGGGAGGCTTGGATCCAAGATGCTGCGTTTAATGAAAAGGAAGTTCCGTAGAATTCCGCACAAGGAAAAAAATTCCTCAGGGTCTCGTTGTCGCCGGGCTAGGGTTTCACCGGCGTTCCAGCCAAAATCAATTCTCCTTGAGACAGAGCGGAGGTGGGGGCGGGGAGGTGCAATGCGATAGCTGCCCCTGGGGGAGGGATCGAGAGACAGCTCCCATGAGCACAGGACGGCTCACACCTGTCTCCCTCTCATACGCGCACATGCCGAGACACAGCCTCTGTCCCGGGGATACAAACCGCTGCAGTACAGGACCTTCACAGCGCTTAAATCCGCTCCTGCCCACCACCCTTCAACACATCTGTTCAACACTAAAGGAATTCAGTCCCTTTGGCCTGCCCCTTGATCTGTCCTGCCTTGTTTTGACACATCCTGATTCAGTTCAGCATGCGTAGTCTGCAAAGGAACAAGTAATAGGTTTATTCTATGCTGAAAAGGGAAGAAAGAAAACACAACGTTTCGGCCGTGGAGCCTCCTTCAGGTCTTCTTCTGACACCTGAAGAAGGCTCTTTCAAAGCTGAAACGTTGTGTTTTCTTTCTTCTCCTACTGATTCAGGTTTGGTCTTATCATGAGCTCCTTCCAGGGCTCTGGCGTTCCTGGTTTCTAATGTGGCGACCGAATGATGTGCGCAGTGTGCTAGTGTTACCAACTGTCTTACTGTAATATTGCTCCCTGCACTTTGTATTCTGCCCTTTTCTCTCTGGGGTATTTAACAATGTCATATTAAATATGGATAGAATTTCCTTTCACCTGAGTGCTGCTTTCAGGATTGAGTGTAAGTTCCAGGATCCGGTGTGTGTGTGTGTGAGAGGGTGCAGGAGACGGAGGCAGCACTGCTCCAGCAGACGTGGGGCCGTCCTGACTCGCAGACTGCTCCCTGGAGACGTGGCGGGGGTGCACCGGGGGACAGGATGAGTAGGGTGGGGCTGTAACATGTTGCCATTCTCCGTAATCTGCCCTTGGGGGGTGTGATCATGGGTTCTTAAGGAGCCAAAGGCGTCCTGGTTTACTTTCAGGAACTTCAAACAGCACAGATTCCTGCTCTGTAACAGCAATCAGAGTTCCAACAGTGCACCGCACTGCAAAGTGACTTTCAAACAGTCCAACCTGTTATACTTACAGTATGTCAACTTAGCGGTTTTGTGCTCATACGTGCTACCTCATGTTTTCCTGATTGTAACCGTTTCAGGACTCCTTGGCCAACACAACAAGTGGTAGCTAGCACCCTGCACCCCACAAGAGGCAGCCCACTGATGCTAAGGAAGTGTGAGCCTGGCCAGTACCTGAATGGGAGATCTCCAGGGAAAGCTAAGGTTGCTGCTGGATGAGGTGTTTGTGGGACCAGCAGGGAGCGCTCACCCTGCGGTCTGTGTGGGTCCTAATGCCCCAGTATAGTGACGGGGACACTACACTGTAAAAAGGCGCTATCATTTGGATAAGAAGTAAAACCAAGTTCCTGACTCCCTGTGGTCATTAAATATCCTAGGGCATTTCTTGAAAAGAGTAGGTGTTACCCAGGTCTCCTGGCCTTTGGCAATCATGAACTCCTAATCATCCCCATCTCTGAACTGGCTTCATCACTCTGTTCTCCTCCCCACTGCTAGCTGGTGTGTAGTGAGCACAGGTGGGTGCTACACTGCTGGTGGTGGAGGGGAGTCCATCACCTGTACAGCGCTTTGAGTGGAGTGTCCAGAAAAGTGTAAGAAATTGTATATGAGTGTAAGAAATTATTCATTAAGTAGTGTCGGGCATTGTGGTGGACCTGGAATTAGAGTAAAATAGGAGTAGCATGGCCCCTGTGTGATTTTGATCAGATCAGCAGTCTAGCCTTGTACAAACGCAGAAATGACCTATCTCCCTCACCAGCTGCTGACTTGAGGTCACCGCCGCTGTCGTGTCCATCCCCAGCGCATCAAGAGTTTTTGGAACTTTTTGTACCAGTTTTGTTTCCTCTCCTTTTCTCTCTCTCACTCTCCCGCCCTCCCTCCATCGCACACAGCCTGAGCCACATCTGCCGGTCTCCGAGAGGCCTGTCCTGACACGAGTGCTTCTCTCCTTCTTTCTGGCCCCCTTGAGCAGCAGCACCAGTTTCTAATGGAGATTACTTTTGGTCTGTTGAGTTCGGTGTGCGGCTGTGCTCTTGCCTTCCCCCTGTTCTCTCTGGGCTGCTCAGCCTGCGTGCTGCTGTGGATTTCCCTCTCCGCCTCTCTCCCTCACTCCTGGCTGTCACTTCAGAGCTCGTCTCCTCGCCCCTGCACTTTCCCGGCTCTCCTGACGAGAGGTTCTTCCCGGAATCAGGACACGGTGTGTCCCAGGAACAAACCGCCTGTCCTATTACCCCCCAGGGCACAGCTTAGTATAGGATGTGGGGGGGCTGGTGTGTAAGAATGGAATTGGACTGTGGGGTGCAACATTTGACTGGGGTGCTAGTTGTAGGGGTCTAGGGCAGATGGTGTAGGAGACTGGGGTACTAGTTGTAGGGGTCTGGGGCAGATGGTGTAGGAGACTGGGGTACTACTGTAGTTGTAGTGGTCTAGGGCAGATGGTGTAGGAGACGGGGGTACTAGTTGTAGGGGGCTTGGACAGAGGCTGTAGGAGACTGGGGTACTGGTCGTAGGGGTCTGGGGCAGATGGTGTAGGAGACTGGGGTACTAGTTGTACATACTGTGGTAGAGGCTGTAGAAGACTGGGGTATTAATTGTCGGGGTCTGAAGCAGAGGGTATAAGAGACTGGGGCAGGGGATATAAGAGACTGGGGCAGAGGGTATAAGAGACTGGGGCAG